CGACCCGTGGGGCTCCTCCGCTGGGAATCTCCTGGTGCGTGAGCAACAAGAATTCATGTGAAGCTGTGGCATCCTCTCATTCTTTGCGCTTTCAGTGGGAGCTACAATCCCGAGCTGTTAGTGATCAGCCATCTTGGATCTCTCTCCCGTGTTTCAATCCTTGTAATGACTTTATGAATAGGTACTTCACAGATGAGAAAACAAAAATTCTAAGTAATTTAATAGTAGTTTGCCTGATGTTCTAGAGCTAGTAAGAAGTGGAGAAGAGGCCGAGTGCGGTCGCTTATGCCTGTAATCCCAGCACTTTGGGAGGCTGAGGCAGGCACATCACCCGAGGTCAGGAGCTCAAGACCAGCATGGCCAACATGGTGAAACCCTGTCTCTACTAAAAACCCAAAACTTAGCTAAGCGTGGTGGTGTGCACCTGTAATCCCAGATACTCAGGAGGCTGAGGCAGGAGAATCACTTGAACCAGGGAGGCGGAGGTTGCAGTGAGCGGACACATGCCATTGAACTCCAGCCTGGGCAACAAAACAAGACTCTGCCTCAAAAAAAAAAAAAAGAAGAAGAAGTGGAGAACAGTTCAAACCCAAATCTATCAGGAAAGACCTCTTAACCCAGAAGTTCAGGTGCTTCCTTGGTAGAGTTTTATTTTTCTTGTATACTTACACAGTAATGTAAGACATGATTGGTGGTTAAAAAAAAAAAAAAAAAAAAATTAAAGCTGTACCCTAATAGAATATAAAAGAGTGGGCAGGGGCACAATAAATGTATCATGAGGTGAACCCCAATAGTTCTTGAATACCAGTTAGAAGCTTCCCATTCAGCTGAAAGAACCCTGTTCCATACCTGATTTTTTTTTTTTTTTTTTTTTTTTTTGAGGCAGAGTCTCACTATATTGCCCAGGCTGGAGAGCAATGGCACAATCTTGGCTCATTGCAACCTACGCCTCCCGGGTTCAAGCAATTTTCCTGCCTCAGCCTCCCAGGTAGCTGGGATTACAGGCACGTGCCACCACGCCCAGTTAATTTTTGTATTTTCAGTAGAGACGGGGTTTCACCATGTTGGTCAGGCTGGTCTCGAACTCCTGACCTCAGGTGATACACCCACCTCGGCCTCCCAAAGTGCTGGAATTATAGGCGTGAGCCACCTTGCCTGGACATACCTGATTTCTTTTTAACAAAACTATTTTTCTGGCAGGCTGCAGTGGCTCATGCCTATAATCCCAGCACTTTGGAAGGTCAAGACAGGGGGACTGCTTGAGCTCAGAAGTTTGAGACCAGCCTGGGAAATATAGTGAGATCTCAGTTCTACTAAAAATGTAAAAAATTCGCTGAGTGTGGTGGCATGCACCTGTAGTCTCAGCTACTTGGGAGGCTGAGATTGGAGGATTGCTTGAGCTCAGGAGGTAGAGGCTACAGTGAACCACTGCACTCCAGCCTGGGCAACTGAGTGAGACCCTATCTAAAATAAAATAAAATAAAATAAAATAAACCACTTTTTTCCCTTGGCACCTACTGAATACCCAATCCTGGGAATAGTAAAAATAAAAATAACAACTCTGAGAGTATATTGGAACAAAGGGATAGGTACAGAGATAGAGATATATACAATTAAATGCTTTAAATCTCAGTGAATACAGGCTGGAATACCAAGGGTCAAGATGTAAATGCCTTGAAAATTCAGAGAAGGGAAAACGTCATGTCAATCTCCAGAGGCTTTCTGAGAAAGGTAAAGATTGAGTCAAGCGTTAGAGGAGAGGAGAAAAAGAAAGAAGGTATGAGAATGAAGCAACACAATACACTGCCCACATCTCTGCCAGGGAAGTCAATTTCATACAGATGCAGACCAGAATAAATATAGAAGGCCATATACTGAGTAAGTAAGAGTACTACCTCTGGAAAACTATGAGAAGGGATCCCAGATCTGCTATCCACTAATTTTATGTCTGGGCAATTACTTGAGCTCTCTGAAACTTAGTTTCCTCATCTGGAAAATGAGGATAATAAAAACCCTGTATCATATTGTTTCGGTTATTCAGCATTTAATTCTTCCTCCTTTATTCTGGAATACTCCTCCTTGGATATAGTCTCAATGGAAAACTCTGTCCTGGGCAACCAAAGTAAGTGAGGGAACATGACCTGGGTTCAGCCACTAGGTGTAGCTTTCAAGAGCTTTAGTTCTTGATCAAGAGATGCAAAGTTAGGCTGGGCATGGTGGCTCATGCCTGTAATCCTAGCACTTTGGGAGGCCTAGGCAGATGGATTACTTGAGGTCAGGAGTTTGAAACCAACCTGACCAAAATAGGGAAACACACTCTCTACTAAAACACCCTGTCTACTAAAATAAATAAATACATATATATATATATATATATATATATATACAAAAATTAGCCAGGTGTGGTGGCGGGTGCCTGTAATCCCAGCTACTCGGGAAACTGAGGCAGGAGAATTGCTTGAAGCCAAGAAGTGGAGGTTGCAGTGAGTAGAGATTGTGCCACTGCACTCCAGACTGGGCAACAGAGCAAGACTTTGTCTCAAAAACAAAACAAAAAACACAAAAACAAAAAAGAGAGAGAGAGACGCAAAGTTAGTAAGAAGTGGAGAAGCATTTGAACCCAGATCTGTCAGGAAACACCTCTTAACCCAGAAGTTCAGGTCTTCCTTCGTAGTTTTATTTTTCTTATCTACTTACACAATAGTATGAGACATGATTAGCCTTTTTTTTTTTTTTTTTTTTTTTTTTGAGATGGAGTTTCGCTCTTGTTACCCAGGCTGGAGTGCAATGGCGTGATCTTGGCTCACTGCAACCTCCGCCTCCTGGGTTCAGGCAATTCTCCTGCCTCAGCCTCCTGGATTTGCCATTTTTTAAAAAAATTAAAGCTGTACACTAATAGGATATAAAAAGAGTGGTGGGTAAAAAGAAAAAACAAAAAACAAAAAAAAAAGAGTGGTGGGCAGGGGCAAGAGAAAGGTATCATGAGGTGAACCCCAACAGAAGGTATGATCAAAATTTATTCATAACAGGTGCTATTCCTCCAGTGCAGCGAGCGACCAGCTTGTATAGCACCAGCGATCCTGGTATCTTGAACAAATTGTTCCTGCTAAAAAAAAAAAAAAAAAAAAAAAAAAAAAAAAAAAAAACTGTTGTGGCAGGATGCAGTGGCTCATGCCTGTAATCCCAGCACTTTGGGAGGCTGAAGCAGACAGATCACCTGAAGCCAGGAGTTCAAGACCAGCCTGGCCAACCAACATTTCAAAACCTGATCTCTACTAAAAATGCAAAAAGTAGCTGGGCATGGTGGCTCACTCCTGAAATCCCAGCTACTAGGGAGGGAGCCTTAAGCAAGGGAATCGCTTGAACCTGGGAGACAGAGGTTGCAGTGAGCCAAGATCATGCCACTGCACTCCAGCCTGGGTAACAGAGCAAGACTCCATCTCAATAAATAAAAATAAAGGACGAAGGAGGAGGATGAACCAAAGGCAAAGAAAACTCTGAAGGTAGTGCTATCTAGAAAGTAAGAAAGAGAGAGAGAGAAAGAGAAAGAGAGAGAGGAAGGAAGGAAGGAAGGAAGAAAACCAGCCAGAAAAGATGCAGTGGAAACCACAGGAGGGACTTTCAACGAGAAGACTGTCAAATAAAAATGTCCTTGAAGACCTCGGCAAAACCTACTTCAGGGAAGTAGTGGGTTGAGGATAGAAGGAAAGAAAGTGGAGGCGGCAAATGTAGAGCATCCTTGCAAGAAACTTGATGAGAAAGGAAAGGGGGAGGGAGTGATGGAGGTTGAGGTGGGCAGATGAGGATGAAAGAATGAATTCCTCCCAGCACTTTGGGAGGTTGAGGTGGGCGGATCAAAAGGTCAGGAGTTCAGGACCAGCCTGACCAACATGGTGAAAGCTCATCTCTACTAAAAACACAAAAATTAGCTGGGTGTGGTGAAAAAAAAATGAATGAATGAATTCCAAGACAGGAGAGATGAGAGGGTATTTCTATGCTGACAACAAGAGGATGGAATGAGGCCAGTGAAACAAAAATGGACAAAGTTCTCCAGGAAGGTCGTAGGGGCAGGGGAGGAGAGGCAGGGCTCACAAAGAGGGATTGGCCTTGAAGAGAGGAGGAAAACTGCTCACCTGAAGAGGCAGTCAAGAGGTGGAAGGACCCTACATACAAATTTGAAGGTGTTACTGAAGAGTTGGCACACAGCCTCAGTGCTTCTGAAATAATGTTTCTCTGTTTTGGTTTGGGTGATGACTTTTTTATGATAAAGTGACTTGGTGCACTGACTCTGGAGCCAGAGTGCCTGTGGTTGAAATCCCATCTCCTCCACTTAATACCTGCATGATCTTAGTGAAGTTAATCTCTCCATGCTTCATCCTGCTTATCTGTAAAAGGGACCAGGGGATAGAGAGGGCTGTCACATAGTGATATGGAAGTGGTCTTTCCTTTCTTTCTTTTCTTTCTTCTCCCCCTTCCTTCCTTCCTTTCTCTCTCTTCTTTCTTTCTTTCTCTTTCTTTCTTTTCTTTCGTCTTTTAAATTTTTTTATACAGACAGGGCCTCCCTATGTTGCTCAGGCTGGTCTTGAATACCTGGCCTCAAGGAATCCTCTCGCCTCAGCCTCCCAAAGTGCTAAAATTACAGGCGTGAGCCGCCACAACCAGCCGTGTTTATTACTGCTTCCGCTAGATTGTCAACTCCACAGGTTGAGGTTTTCCGTTTTCTTTAGAGCGTCTACTCAGAGCCTGCCACAAAGCATGTGCTCAAGAAAAATTTCCTGAATGAGTAAATTGGGTTGAAATCCTTGGGAGTGGGGCTCAGTGTGCTGGAATCCCGATTCCTGCGTCGGACTCCAGGCCACCGGGCGGCTTCCTGGGGTCTGGGGCAGGGCCTCCCCCTGCGCCGAGAGCGTCCCCGCCCTGAGCCCCTCGGGCACTCTCGCGGCTCCTCCCACGGCGGGCGCGCCGCGCCGACCCCGCTACGGCTACTGGCAGGGGCAATCCGGGAACCGGCCCGGCGGGGCAGGGCGGAGCCTACGCTCAGCCCGGCCTCTGCTCACCTCATCGACGGGGGACGGAAGTCTCGGTCTCGCTGGACTCTCGGAGGGTCAGGCTCGTCCGCGGGGCAGCTGGGCCTGGCCAAAGCCTGGGCGCGCTTCCGCGCGGCGGCGCCATGAAGCGCGCGGGGACTCTGCGGCTGCTCTCGGATCTGAGCGCCTTCAGCGGCGCGGCCCGGCTCCGAGAGCTGCTGACCGGGGACCCAGCGGTCCGAGTCCGCGGCAGCCCGGACGGCCGCCACCTGCTGCTCCTGCGACCCCCGGGGGCACCAGCCCCGCAGCTCCTGGTCGCGGGGCGAGGGCCGGGCGTGGAGCTGGAGCTGGCCTGGCCGGCCTGCCAGCTCTCCCCGCTGGACGCCTTCTTCCTGTCGTGGCCAGCGCGGCCGGCTCTGGTGTTGGTGTGGGAGAGTGGTCTGGCCGAGGTGTGGGGCGCGGGCGTGGGGCCTGGCTGGCGGCTGCTGCAGAGCATCGAGCTGTGTCCGTGCGAGGGAGCTCGCGTGGTTGCCGTGGCCGCGCTCCGAGGCCGTCTGGTGTGGTGCGAGGAGCGCCAGGCAGGGGCCGAGGGCCCGCTAGGGCGGCCCGCAGTCGCTTTCAGCCACTGCGTGTGCGTCCGAACCTTGGAACCCGGCGGGGAAGCTGGCACCAGCCTAGGACGCACACACGTACTGCTGCACCACTGTCCCGCTTTTGGACTGCTGGCCTCCTGCAGACACCTCTTCCTGGTGCCCACTGCCACCACCTGGCCTGGCGTGGCCCACGTTCTACTCATCTGGAGCCCAGGCAAGGGCAAAGTGATGGTGGCTGACCCACGGCGTGGCCTCTCCTACAGTAAGAGTCTGAATTCTGGACGAGGGGACACATGGGACTTCCGGACCCTGCTCCGAGGCCTTCCTGGGTTGCTGTCCCCCAGGGAGCCACTGGCTGTACACACCTGGGCCCCAACTCCCCAGGGCCTGCTGTTGCTTGACTTCGGGGGCACTGTGAGCCTAGTGCAATCCCACGGTGGTACCCGGGCTGTGGGCACCCTGCAGGAGGCGCCTGTAGGTCCGCGGGGGTCTGCAGCCTTAGGCACATTTCAGGGCACTCTGGCCTGTGTGCTGGGCTCCACCTTGGAACTGCTGGACATGGGCAGTGGGCAGCTGCTGGAGAGGAAGGTCCTAAGTACAGACAGGGTACATCTGCTGGAACCCCCAGCCCCTGGCATGGAGGATGAGGAAGAGCTAGAGACCCGCGGGAGTCTTCGTCTGCTTTCAGCCTTGGGTCTGTTTTGTGTGGGCTGGGAAGCCCCACAGGGTGTTGAGCTGCCTTCAGCCAAGGACATGGTGTTTGAGGAGGCCTGCGGGTACTACCAGCGGCGGAGCCTGCGGGGTGCCCAGCTCACCCCAGAAGAACTGAGACACAGCAGCACATTCCGGGCACCTCAGGCTCTGGCCTCTATCCTCCAGGGCCACCTACCCCCATCTTCACTGCTGACCATGTTGAGGACTGAGCTTCGGGATTATCGAGGCTTAGAGCAGCTGAAGGCCCAGTTGGTGGCCGGGGATGATGAGGAGGCTGGCTGGACTGAGCTGGCAGAGCAGGAAGTGGCACGCTTGCTGAGGACTGAGTTGATAGGAGACCAGCTGGCCCAGCTCAACACCGTTTTTCAAGCCCTGCCTACTGCAGCCTGGGGTGCTGCACTCAGGGCCTTGCAGCTCCAGCCAGATGGGAAAGGCAAGCTGAGCTCCCAAGCACCCCCTGATGTGTGGAAGAAAGTGTTAGGGGGCATAACCACTGGAAAGGAACCCCCCAATGGGATATTGCCCCCCTTTGAACTCCTGTGCCAATGCCTGTGCCGGCTGGAGCCTCGATGGCTGCCACCCTTTGTAGAACTGGCACAGCAGCAGGGTGGGCCGGGCTGGGGGGCAGGGGGCCCGGGACTGCCCCTGTATCGCCGAGCCCTGGCAGTGCTAGGTGAGGAGGGGACCAGGCCTGAGGCACTGGAGCTGGAACTGCTCTTGAGCAGTGGGCGGCCCAAAGCTGTGCTCCAAGCTGTTGGGCAGCTGGTGCAAAAGGAGCAATGGGAGCGGGCTCTGGATGCTGGCCTGGCCCTCGGCCCCTCCAGTCCTCTGCTTCGAAGTGAAATCTTCAAACTGCTGCTAGCTGAGTTTGCCCAGCACCGCCAGCTTGATGCTCACCTCCCCCTGCTTTGCCGCCTGTGCCCACCAGAACTGGCTCCAGCTGAGCTCCTGCTTCTACTGCGGACATACCTCCCAGATGAGGTGGGGCCCCCTGCCCCATTCTCTGAGCCTGGAGCAGAGCCCCCTCTTACTGTGGGCTTGCTCAAAGCCCTGCTGGAGCAGACTGGGGCTCAAGGATGGCCTTCGGGCCCAGTTCTAAGCCCATATGAGGACATCCTGTGGGACCCCAGCACTCCACCCCCCGCTCCACCTCGGGACCTATGACCACCTTCCAGGCATCAGACTGCTCAGGGCCTGGAGGCTTGCTTGGGCACCATGTGGACAGGTACTGTGTCACTGACAGAGAAAATCATTTCTGGGACGCAGTTATCAGGGAAAGATGCCTGGGACTTGGAGAGGCCCATGGTGGACCTGTATATGCAATACTCTTCTGTCTTCTGGAACTATTTTTAAGATGTGTGTATGTGTTAAATATATACACAGTTTAATATATACACCATTGTGTGTTTTTAAACAGCTATGAGTCTCAGAGGATACAGGTTATAGAGGGAGTGGTGGGATCTGGATCTTTTGGCTAAAGTGTCCACTTCCAATCATGAAAATAGTTTAACATTTATGAGCATTTCATGCTTCTCATAACCCCCGTGGGGAAAGTACTAATGTTATTCCCATTTTACAGAAAATAAAAGTTTGGAAAAATTAAATGACTTGACCAAGATCATTCAGCTAGAAATTAGCAGGTCAAAGATTGGAGCCACATCACTGAATAGACCAGTAGTTCCCACCTGTTTGGGCTTGGATGTGCTCCCCATCCCTGGCTCCATGCTGGCTTCTGGGGCCTGCTGAGAGGAGGAGGACTGCAGAGCTCTACCCTTCCTTTCCCCAGGACTCCTCTGCTCCAGAGTAGGAACTGTGCTGGGCCCTGGGTCCTTGCCTGTCTCCACCAGGATTTCTGGAGCAGCCCCTAGTTTAGGGAAAGATTTGCCACAGACAGGAGAGCTGCCTGCAGAGCTCTCTGGCTCAGTAAGAAAATTCACTGGGAACAGAACTACCTGGAGAGCACCATATTCCTGCTGACTCCCCCAAGTCAAGAAATAGGAGCACCTAACAACACAGATCTGTGTCTGGATTTATTCAACAGGCTCACCTCTGAAGAGTCCTTCGCCCTGTGCCCACTTCTACCCAAATAACGCCTCAGCCTACCTCAGGATAGACCCTGGTTCTGCCTTAGGGTAGGACCCTGGATGCAGCTACTCAGCATCATCCCCAGTCCCAGATACCCCTTGTCCAGGCCTGAGGCCAAGGTTAGGGCTGCCACTCAGCTTTGTCCGCAGCTGGGACCTGCAGCTTAGATGCTGCTAGCCTTAATCTGGACTTACATGGACTCAGTCTAGGACTAATGAGACTAGGCACAGTTCCTGTCTATAGGGAGAGAAGTAGCTACTTAGACTTACCGTGGCTGGTGTTAACTCTTCAGCCTGAGGTGACTCATCTACATGGCCAAGTCCTGAGGTACCATCTTGGCCTCCTCTGGAGCTTGGATGTCCCTTGTCCTGGCCCTCAAGCCAGGCTGCCTACCAATAGCCGGAGTCAAGCTACTGCTCTTCCCGGAGCCCCATGGCTAGGGACAGTTCCAATCCTGGCCTCCACCTCAGCCCCTTCCTGGTCTGGGAGGAGTTCCTCTTCTTGGTCTTGAAACTGGGGTCATCATGGCTCAGTGGGAAGCTGCTTCTTGTTTGTAATCCTGCTTAATCATTGTTGCATCTTCTCAAATCTCCCAAGCCTGAGATTTGGCTTGGTCCTCCTGTGCCTGGAAGAGAAAGAATCTACTCAGTGGGCTCCTGGGGGGTATGGGCAAGGGAAGGAGGCCAGGTTTTTCCTTCAGGTTATATGGTTCAAGGAAGTTTCCTGGGACCATCCACTAGTAGGGCCTCCAGATTGAAGGCCACCCAGCCAGCCCGGCAGCTCTGAGCGGCGCAGGTGGGCTTAGATGGTGACTTTTACCTGTTTTGACAGGCTTCGTGCTTGATCAAACTAGCCTTATCCTTCCCTTCAATGTGGAGGGTGCAGGTGATCCCAAATTACATCTCAGGACTTTGGAAGACAGCTCAGGGATCATCTGTGACTGAGTTTTGATGGAGTTTCTGAGAGGACTATCAGACAGACAGAGGTCTCTGAATAGGCACGTGGAGATCGGAAGTCTGAGGTCTTTGGTTGACAGGGAGGGTCCCTGGACAAGATGCTGGAACCTGAGGACATGAGAGATTCAGAAGCTAAAGTCCTTGGCCTTGGAAACCTGAGAAAAGGAAGTAAGTTCTGACATTGATGGGTTTCATTTTTGCTTCTGTATTTTTTTTTTTTTTTTTTTTTTTTTTTTTTTTTTTGAGACGGAGTTTCACTCTTGTTATCCAGGCTGGAGTGCAGTGGCGCGATCTCGGCTCACCGCAACCTCCGCCTCCTGGGCTCAGGCAATTCTCCTGCCTCAGCCTCCTAAGTAGCTGGGATTACAGGCACGCGCCACCACGCCCAGCTAGTTTTTTGTATTTTTAGTAGAGACGGGGTTTCACTATGTTGACCAGGATGGTCTCGATCTCTCGACCTCGTGATCCACCCGCCTCGGCCTCCCAAAGTGCTGGGATTACAGGCTTGAGCCACCGCGCCCGGCTGCTTCTGTTTTTAAGAGACAGGATCTTGCTCTGTTGCCCAGCCTGGAGTGCAGTGGCTTATGGGCTCAAGTGATCCTCCTGCTTCAGCCTCCCAAGTAGCTGGAACTGCAGACACAGGTCACTGTGCCTAGCTTGGTTGCCTTTTTTCTTTCTTTTCTTTTTGAGAGAAGTTCTTGCTATGTTGCCCAGGCTGGACTTGAACTCCTAGACTCAAGGAATCCTCCCACCTCAGCCTCCCAAGTAGCTCGGATTTTAGGAACATGCCACTGCACCCGGCTGCTGAAGGTTTTGAGTGGTAGACAAGGTCTCAGATCCAAGGTTCTGGGGCAGGAGGAGTACGAGAGTCTGAAGTCCCTGGGAAGAATCCTAGGCCATTTACACAGGTATGCCTCGCCTCAGGAGCTCTCTCAGGTTCACATGGCAGTAAAGCTAGGCACAAGGAGTGCCACACAGTAGTCCCAGCAAGCATCTTGGGTGAAGGAGAGGAAGCAGGGCGCAAGGCTCCTCCAACTGCCTATGTGGCCTTAGGGACCCAAGCCTCCCTATTACTTTTTTTCTTTTTTTGGTGGTGGGGAGACAGTTTTGCTCCGTTGCCCAGGCTGGAGTGCAGTGGTGCGATCACAGCTCACTCCATCTCCCTGGTTTAAGTGATTCTCCTGCCTCAGCCTCTCGAGTAGTAGCTGGGATTACAGGCATGTGCCACCATGCCCAGCTAATTTTTTTTTTGTTGTTGTATTTTTAGTAGAGATGGGATCTCACCATATTGGCCAGGCTGCTCTCGAACTCGACCTTGTGATCCGCCCACCTCGGCCTCCCAAAGTGCTGGGATTACAGGTGTGAGCTACTGGCAATTTTTTTTTTTTTTTTTTAGAATCTGGCTCTGTCACCCAAGCTGGAGTGCAGTGGTGCGATCTCAGTTCACTGCAACCTCCACCTCCTGGGTGGAAGTGATTCTCCTGCCTCAGCCTCCCCCGTAGTTGAGACTACAGGCGCCTGCCACCATGCCCAGCTAATTTTTGTGTTTTTAGTACAGACAGGGTTTCACCTTGTTGGTTAGGCTGGTCTCAAACTCCTGACCTCAGGTGGTACACTTGCCTCAGCCTCCCAAAGTGCCAGGATTACAGGCATGAGGCACCGTTCCCAGGAACACCTCTCTTTTTCTTTCCTTCTTTCTTTTTTTTTAAATCCAGATACTGCAAAATACCTCCCTTTTCATTTTCCTACCGCCTACCCATATTCCCAACCTTGTCAGTTCCAGTTCTATATGTTTTTTTTCTGCACCAAGGAATCCTGTTCAAACACAGACTGCAGTCTCCGTGCTGCCCAATGACCAGACCACAGGACTATAGCCACTTATGTCTTTTTAAACGTGTAAGGATTAGAGGTCAGAGCCACACACCTTCTTCTACATGTGGTCCACAGGAAGTTGGACCTGGTGGCCCCAGTGGGCCAGTGTCTAAAAACCACTCCTGCTCTTCTCCCATACCCTGACCTTGCCTTCAGCCTGGCTCTAGCCACCTGTCATTGAGACTATTTTAGTGGCTTTATAATTGGTATCCTTGTCTCCTCAAATCTAACCTTGATTACCCAGAGTATTGTATACTATAGCAAATCTGATCAAGTTCAGCACTTACTCCAATATTCAAGGTCAAGGCCAAACTCTTAACAAAGCCATCCCTTCCTTTGTGTCTGGCACTGCCTCTCCAGTCTTCTCTCCAGCCACTCTTTTTTTACACCGTGATCGCCTAGTTATTTGTTCATCTCCCTGATTAGTATACAAGTTCCTTGAGGGCACAGCCCATGGCTGTTAGTATTTTGGTATCCTCAGCATGTATCACAATGCCAGGCTCCTAGCAGGTTTAAATATTATTATTGTTGTTGTATGCCAGGCTCCTAGTAGGTTCAAATATTATTATTGTTAGGCCGGGCGCGGTGGCTCAAGCCTGTAATCCCAGCACTTTGGGAGGCCGAGGTGGGTGGATCATGAGGTCAAGAGATCGAGACCATCCTGGTCAACATGGTGAAACCCCGTCTCTACTAAAAAATACAAAAAATTAGCTGGGCATGGTGGCGCGTGCCTGTAATCCCAGCTACTCAGGAGGCTGAGGCAGGAGAATTGCCTGAACCCAGGAGGCGGAGGTTGCGGTGAGCCAAGATCACGCCATTGCACTCCAGCCTGGGTAACAAGAGCGAAACTCCATCTCAAAATATATATATATATATATATATATATATATATATATATATATATATATATATATTACTGTTGTTGTTGTTTTGTTTTTGAGACGGAGTTTCACTCTTGTTGCCCAGGCTAGAGTGCAATGGTGCAATCTCAGCTCACCACAAATTCTGCCTCCCAGGTTCAAACCATTCTCCTCAGGCTCCTGAGTAGCTGGGATTACAGGCATGTGCCACCATGCCCAGCTAATTTTGTATTTTTAGTAGCGATGAGGTTTCTCCGTGTTGGTCACGCAGGTCTCAAACTCCTTCAGGTGATCCGCCCACCTAGGCCTCCCAAAGTGCTGGGATTACAAGAGTGAGCCACCAAGCCCAGCCTAATTATTAATGTGGATGCAGGAACTGACAAGGCTCTATGACCTGGGGTAAGAAGAAGGGATTAAGCTCTGGCCTTTAGAGATTCTCTGGCTTTCTTCCTTTCTTTCCATAAGCCAGACTGACTCTTTGGTTGATCCAGCCCTGAAATTGATGAAAGTAAGTTAGGTGGATCTGAAGGCAGAACCAAGTCACCAAGGGCAGTGGCAGGGATGAAGAAGCTACTGAGCTGGGACCATCTTAGGAGTTACGGTGGAGGTGAAAAGAATGGA